GAGAGATCACACCACTGGACATGTGCCAGTGAGTTCCTTTGTTTCGGTTACCGGATGAAAAACTCGTGGTGTGTGGAGTTGATTCGGTGTTTGGAAATAAAGTTATCAACGACTAAACTGTCTGCTGTTGGCCTGTTTCGCCTTTTACGTTGGAGTTCACGCGACTCACCTTGTGCTTGGCTCTAGACTTTCAAAGCATGTCTCACTACCGGCACCTGTGGTGCGTCTGCTTTCGTCTTTTAGTCAGATCGTCTGTCTATAGTGTCTTGCGTTCATTTATCTGCGGGATAATAGGTGATTATGGAACGGGGTAGTGAAAGCCCAAGGAAGCTCTCTCGCCTATGCCGCCTTATCTTCATACGATAGCCAGCTGTTTGTAACCTTGCACATAAGGCGTAGGCGTTTTGAACCGGAATGTTTACATAGGGCGCTTAAGTCCCAGTTCTCTCCCCTCACAATTATTCATTTCTAGAAAGGAATTTCTTGTGAGAATGTACATTTGATAATTCCTTGTCATGGCAACTGAGCACGGCAAGTAAGCATCGGTTCAAGGGACTTAAGCACTTCTGATGACGATATCCGTTCCACGAGTTGCGGAACATGTTCAAGTCCTCAGGGTTTTGGAGGGTACACAGTGTTTCAGCAGAGAGAAACAAAACGTAGCCAAGTCCGAATATGTCAAAAAAATCGGAGTACTAAGCTAGATGTAGTCAATCAGATGTGATGCAGATGCTGAAGCTGTGTGTGATCACCGTGGAATAGCTGGGATTAACGAATATATTAAAAAGGAAAAAGACGAGAATGCCAGTCAGAATGAAAGCCGAGAGTTGATGAATGTATGTCGGGCAAAAGGCCTAATGGAGGGCCAGAAGTAAAAATTTAAGACGACCTACAGAAAGTGGCTTTAAGAACAGATGTGGTCAAGTTAGGATTCCCTAAGCAGGAATTCAAAATCCACTGGTGCGGTTCAACAGTTAAGTCTGTTCAGTAACTGTCATTCTATCAATTATCATTACTAGTCTTCGTCTTATGCGCCGGGGCAATTGGTCGACAGTCAGACGACGCGTGTATGCGTATAGGGTAAAATAGGTCAAAGGACCTGTCGACGAACTCGAATTGCGGTCACTCAGCATCCTGATGGTGCGAAAGCCCTATGAACATTTGCACCAGTACGACCGGAACCAAATTCGAAAACAGCGTCTAGCGAAGAGGTCGTGTTTCTAAAGCACTAAAACCAACGCATATACGGGAGCTTTGCAAGGAAGACTGGCAGATGTGTCCAAAACTAACAACAGATCTGCCACAAACGCCCGAGATACCCGTTCTCGTTTAGCTTGATCGTGACGGTGTCAATAAGGGTGTATTGGGTTGTGATAAATAACTATTACTAAAGCTGTGTCAAAACGCATAGCAAGTACTGGGGAGGAGGGCGATCGTCAGGACACAATGCCCAAAGGCCGCAACAACAATAGAATGCGCTATTCCAGTGGTTCCAATCGAAGTCAGTAGAGCTCAAGCATTAGTTTCTGTGAATACGGAGTAGAGCACAAAACTAAAACAAATGTGGCTGAGCTCCACGAGAAGTGTGGTCTTGGACACATGATGTCTGCCTCAGAAAAAATAAAATTGTATTCTAGGAGATTCCTTATTCAGAAAGAAACAAATGACCATCAACAGCCCTGTTTAACTCATCCACGTTATCGTGTGCGGCTGATACGTGAAATAATGACTAGCGATCCATATTAGTAAGAACTCTTGGTAGCATGTGAAACGATGATGACTACGTTGAACAAAGAGGACGATCGAAGGCACATGCGAAACACAATGGGGGACCCGCTCGCACTCGAGTGTGGGTGAGTGTGCGTGCGTGATAAGGGAGCTGAGAGAAGTTATGCAGATTGTTGCCTCGTGTGGAATCTGGAACGAATTGAGGTCTTGAGAGTGACTGCTCCCCGCCCAGTTTGGTGAATTGGTCTTTGAGTTGTTCCAATAGTGCGGTTAGCGACTGTAAACGTCGCTTGCACAATTGCTGCTAGTACGTGACTAACGGGAAGGCCATGCGAAATGGACGCCAGGGACGATCATAAGCAAGCGTGGAAACGCTATGTATCGACGTGAAGGTGGCGCACAGGTCTTGGCCGACGGCATGCAAACCAGTTACGGCCCACATTGTGCCAGCCAGAACAAGAAAGGCCTACTGACCTCCCGTACGATTTACTGGTGGAAACTTTCAACCTTCCGAAGGTAACAATGGACGACTGCACAAGGTCGAGCAACGAATCCGGAACAAGAACATCGGAACAAAGTTCTCGGGCGCTACTGCCAAGGAGGTGGACCGACAGGCAGAGAACACCGTCCCGAAGACAGCAAGTTAAGCCCAGGCTTTTCTCTTACACCTCGGAACGTTTTTCAGGGGGGAGATGTCCGGGAGAAAGTAAGAATTGCCTGGGAAATTCCCTATTTTAGCGATTAACCGATTACTAACGATTATAGCATCGATTTCGAACGTTCCGGAATGTTCTTCTTCTGCACGTGATCAAAATCACCTGACCCTCATCGGGAAAAGATATGGGGAACCACTAAACCTTGGTAGCAGACTTCCAATTCTAGAAGTCGGAAGGTCAGCAGAGGACCTATAAATACAGCCAGGGTCCTCAGTCGTGTACAGTGTTCGTTGGCTGCGATTAATACGTTCTTTTGTCAGGGTCATTGGCGTTCTGCTTTTTTCCTTCGGTTGGGCTAGAAGTTTTGCGGAGCAGTGAATTGTTATATTTTGGAGTTGCGTCTAGTGAGAAGATTATAACAGCATGGTGCACATTTTTACAAAAAGTCAACTTTGTATTGAAAGTCGCACTACTAGTCACCTCTAGCAAGGGGATATCAGCATAAAGCGTTAATTGAAAAGTGTATTAAGCTCTAACACGCAGTACAGATGAGCTTGGTTGCGTGGGAGTTTCAGACCGCCGCAGCCCCTGATATTATTTCCGTTTAATTCACCGGGTGATAACGGCCTGGCGTGTTCGGTGGAAGCTGAGGGTCAGTTTGTCCAACATATCACCCTGCAGAGAATAAAATCAGTGGTGAAAAGTTACATACCACGGCATTTTTCGTCGCGGAGTCCATAGCAGTTCAATTCGCGCTTGATTGCTCGCTTGGCGGCCAGCTTCCTTCAGCGCCTGAGTAACTAAGGTGAAGCAAGGGTAAATTCAGTACACCCCTGCAATACGGCATCGTCCACAGAGTCATAACAGTCCGTACTTTTGGGAGCTGACGGAATCTCCTCAACGTTTAGCAAGTTTTGTGGTGTCGGGATATATGACACAATGGACCTAAAAGTTTGGGAGAGTAAATGTGGCAATACTTGAAGGTGTTGTAGTACATAATAGCTCGAGTGAACTTGACATCACTGCGAAGCAAGGCATCCGCTATCATTGCAGCGTCTTCAAACGTCGGAGACTTTTTGCCGACATCAGTAAAGGACAGAAGGAAGAGATTACGGAACTGCCCGAGACAACTGAGCCCGTGACTTGTCACCGACAAGGACCAGCTTGGCATTATTCATAAGTTCAGGGTCACTAAGAAGTAAATTCCTTATTATCTGAAAAGCTCGTAACGTAAGGAACCAGGCACCTTTACTACGCTGCTATTGGCAGCGCCACAAAGCCCTCTGTCACTAGTAATTGCTATGAGAATAGTGTCTGGTTTGGGATGGACTTCAGTAGGGGCCAAATCAGTGAATTCGTAGAAAGCTTAACAAGTTAGAACAGAGTAAACAAATACCTTTAGACCCCTCTCCAAAAGGTCGAGCAGCCCGTAACTCCCGTTCTGCTCGGGCAAATTTTTGAAGTAAGAAACCATTTTCCATGGAACGCAGTATTTATTTGGATGTTCTTCACCGAATCGGAGCCGGATAGCAATATCCTTCACACAAGTGGCCATACCGCATCGGGATGGGCTGAAAACAGTGTATGTCAGACTTGATACACAAAGATGTGAACCTTACCACAAGTGCAGGGGAAACAACGAGTAGACCATATGTTCCCCAGCATCACAAAGACTGTGCTTCTGTACGCGTCGGGTCAAGGATTCCGAAGGTTTCCGTGTCCGATGTTTACGTAGGTTGTAATAGACTTGGGAGGCTGCGAAACAAGAAAATACCTCGTAGGCGGCTGGACGCACATATCACAACCATCCAGTAAGAAACCACACTAAATGAAACGTGCGACCAGCTAGCACATAGTGGCGAGCTAGATGCCGTTATCACAGCTGCTGATGGGATCGAGCCTGGTATGAAATAATGGTGAGAGTAAGCACGAGGGATGGCTGTGAACCGAGCAGGAAGGTAAAAAAAGAGGAAACAATGGTCGTCCACTTGAGGTTTAAGGATTTCTTATGGATTACTACAAGGTCACACTCGGACCTGTTACATTATCCTCTGTTGACAGGCGCTGCCCTCAGCGGCTACAGAAGTCCTAGTCGGTTTCGACCTGGTGGTGTGTAAAACAACTGATGGGTGCAGCATGCTAGGTTCTGGAGATACCGCATAAAGCAGTATGGTCACAGGGGTTAGTGATCGCCTTAGGGCAAACGATCCAGCTCCAAGGACTGCTGTCGAGAATTGGCAGGGTCGTCAAATACGTAATATGCGTCGGGTCGATAGCTTCCGTTTCCGAAGTGTACGTAGGCCGTAATATAATTAGAAGGCTGCAATACAAAACAAATACCTCGTAGGCGGCTGGATGTTTGGTACTGAGTACTGGCGTAGTGCTGATGCCTTTCTTTTCTTTCGCCCTTAGTCATCATCATCATCATACACGTTAGCCAGAGGTGGGGAACACCTCAGCTACTGTGCCGCAATACATAGAAAAAAGGAGAAAAAAAGCAAATGGTGCAAGCCGGCTGAGCTACCGGTAACGGATGGGCATCGTTCCGGTAAGCTACCAGCCTGCTACTGTGCATCAAAAAAGTACATGCAAAATTATATAAGGCTAAATAATGAGATCGTGGTGGCGACCTGGCTTTCGGAATCGAAGAGAGTAAACAAGATCTCTAAGTCCCATGACAGATTTCGAGCGACATCTTTGAATCCTTTTTGACAAGTCGCATTTAAATTTCGAGAGACAGGTAACTGGAAGTATCGGGTGAACATGTGATGTGACGCAAGTGAAAAAATAACATGAAATGGTACCAACTTAGTGTCTGTTTTCTTAGTGTTTTGTTTAGACTGACACAGGGAACTCAACGCTTGAAGTGCTGAAAATTGCCGGATAACGGAGAATAACCTGCGTAAAGCACGCAGCATGCTGTTTGCGGTCACAACCTCCCTCAGAGGTGAGGTTCTAAGGTCAGATGATACAATAACGCCGAGATCCATCTGGTGAGTGACGTTTTTGAGAAGATTCCAGCCAAGGTAGTAAGCGATGAACGAATCCAGATTGTTAATCAGAAAAACGGCGCACTTGTCATGATCTACGAGTTGCCATTTGATGGACTAATCGTGCAGATGGTCTAGCGCCCCCTGGAGTCTGTCAGCGTCTACAAGGCTAGATACTTTTGCCCATAGTAGGAAATCATCAGCATAGACTAGGCAGTCGACTTGAAGAGGTGCGGGGAGGTTATTACTGTGCAGATTGAAAAGTTCCGGCTAAAGGGAGATAGCATACAGGTTTTTGCAGTGAGTGTGGAGCGTACGTTTGACGACTCGTTCCATGATGCTGCAGAGTACAGACGTCAGATATACCGGTCGATAGTTTGCAGGATCATGCCGGTTTCCTCCTTTGTAGTTGCGCATTACGATCCCTACTTTCTAGTCAGGTGGTAAGTGCTCGTCTATAAGAGAGCGGCGTAAAACCTGGTATACCATTATCACCAACAACAGCAGTACATCAGCCATTTGAACTGATGCTTCGCTGCCATACAACCATGAGGACCTATGAAATAAAGAATAAGAAGAGGGAGAGAAGGGGGACTTACCTGAAAACCTTAATGCCCTAAGCAAACATTCAGGGTCAAGGCGCCTACACCTTGTGTAGACAACATACCGTCACAAACAGCTGGCTATCGTGCAAAGATAAGGCGGCATCGGCGAGACAGCTTCCTTGCGGCTTTCACTGCCACGCGTCATAATCAGCCATTACCCCGCAGATAACTCAGCACCAAACACACTTTAAACAGGCAATCCGATTAGGAGACGGCAGCAGACGCGCCACTGGTGTCGGTTGCGAGCCATGTCCTGTAAAGTCTCGAGCCAAGCACAAGGCGAGTCACGTGGACTCCAGCCCGGAAGGCGAGACGGACCAACGGCACCCAGTTTGGTCGTCAGTGACTTCATTTCCCGCTGCCAAGTCAACTTCTGTCCACCTCGAGCCTTGCGCCATCCTACACCTGGTAGACTGAACAAGGCCCTCCTAGGTAAGCGGTGACCAGGCATACGTAGCACGTGCCCGAGCCAACGCAACTTATTCAGTGCTATCTGTTGTTCTAGGGAGCTAGCATGATTATCACCACCTAGTACTCGCCTACGCACATCATCGTTGCGGACACGCTGGTGCCATCCGACACCAGCAATGCTTCGCAGACAACGATGATCAAAGACTTGAAGGCGCCTCAGATCTTCAGACCGAAGGGGCCAAGTCTCACTACCATAGAGCAGAACGGCCCTCACTGTGGCCTTGTATACACGGCCTTTCAGACGGAGGGAAACTCCCTTCTGTCGCCAAAGATGCCGCAGGTTCAAGAAGGCAGCTCTGGCCTTTGCAATGCGTGAGCTGACGTCAGTTTCTATGCGCCCATCGTTGCTGATGCAGCTGCCAAGATAAGTGAATTGATCAACCACCTCGACCTCCTCGTTAGCAAGTGTCCAGTGGTCATAAAGTGACATTTGTGGTCCTGCAGCAACACTTTCCACTTTGAAGGTGCGAAACACATACCAAATAATGGGACCACTTTAGTCAGGCTATTCACGGTTGGTTGTGCCGCCGTAACATCGTCGAAAAGCAACACGATATCGTCCGCATAATCAAGATCAACTAATCTTTCACCAGGCAGCACTTCAACGCCTACATCGTTCGATTCCCCCAGGGGAACACTCCATGATAGAATCCACGACGAACTTGAACAAAAAATGGGGAAATCGGACAACCCTGACGAACACCATTTGTGGACAGAAAGCTATCCGATAGGCCACCATAGACCCTGACGCGGCCTGTAGTGTTCGAGTATAGAGCACGAAGGATGTTCACACAAATTTCATCACCTTTTCATCATCATCACCATCATCACCTTTCATCACCTTTTCGCGTAAGTATTCCGAACATAATCGATCGATTGACTGAATCGAATGCAGTCTTGAAATCAAGGAACACAGCTATTGTCGGTTTGCAGTATGCGTGGCGCTGCTCTAGCACCTGCCAAAAAGTGAATATATGGTTTATATAGACATGCCCTGGGTGGAAACCGGCCTTCTCTTCCCTAATGCGAGATTCCCGTTCCACAAAGAGGCAACGAACGAGAACCGAGGCCAGTAATTTTAAAGCACTGAGTTCCCTTTATCATTCTAAATAAGACAATAAGAAGACTGGTATTGCGAGATGGTACCATTTCGTGTTATCTGTTCACTCGCAAACTAACAACAGATAGATGAATCACGTGACAGAAAAAATCGAAGATTTGAAACTGGTCACAAGGGAAAAATTACGTAGACACAACAATGACAGATTAGCATCCTGATCTTAGGGTCATGAGCCCCAAGGAAACTTCAGGGAGGCTGTTAATTGTTTTTGTACGCATAGGATAGGGCGATGCCGGTTAAGTGCCACGGCTTCGGCAAACCTCAACACTTTGGGGTTGTCCTTACGATAGATAACTGTAAATGTTGACCTGGGGTCAACCTGATGGCCTGATTCCAGTAGATGTCTGGCGATCGATGAGGCCGGCATCTTAGATACTTTTTCTGGTTCGCCTGCTTCTTGTGTCGATAGTTTGGCAATCCATTTTGGGATTTGCTCTCCAATGCGCTTATCCAAGGCTCGATCTGTTCTGCCAATGTAACTACTACGGCAGTTACAAGCGAATTGGTAAATGCAATGGGTTGTGGCGGAGATCGATTGAGTAGGCTTCACTGGAGGCATAGGTAACTTCCTGGTCTCCCAAATGGGGCAGAATTTGGCTGCGTTGAATGTCCGCTGAATCGCTGTATGCACACGACTTTCGAGTTGGGCGGCCACGATATCACCTTTGAAAGGTAATTGAAGGTAGACAGACAATTTGGGCATAGTAAGTACCGTCGGCCTGTTTTCCTTCAGTTGACTGTGGAATCGAATAAACGCTTCTGGATATCCGTTGGTTCGTAGCGTCTGTGTGATAAACAGCAATTCCGATTCCAAACAGTCGTCAGTGCATACTCTGTGGGCTCGATTAAACGGCGTCTTGACTAAGCACCGCTTGTATTGTATAGGGGCGAAGCTGTAGAAGTGTTCATACAATCCTGTCTATGTAGCTTTCCTGTGTACAGAACGCTTAATGGAGCCGTCTTCTCGTCTGGTCAACAACACATT